AAGCATTCAATGTAGGACCAGCAGGTTCTGAAACAGCTTCTTCCCCACTGCCATCAGACTGATGAATGTTATATAAAATGGGTTATAGAAAAACAAAACTGAATGTTGGAACTGTAACTAGACAGTTGTATGTTTACATGACTTTTTTTTAACACAGTGTTTATATTACTGTTGCTTACTTTTATCAAGCCTGCACTTTAAAAAATGAAAAAGACCTAGAGAGCTGTACTTAACGAAATGTCTTTTTGTTTACACTTGTGCGATAAAAAATGACAGAAGAAACTCCTTAGTTTCTCAGGGTGTCGTCCCCCTTCATACCAGCTGGGGGCGGTAGAGAGCTGTACTTTTACACCGGAAGAAGAAAGCTACATGGCGCCTGCTCACTGCTCCGTCGAACTCCTCTCACTTTGATGGCTGGGATGAAGCTTCTCCTGCTCACCCTCTATGAATACTCTCCTCTCTTCCACATCGTGGTGGTTTCTCTCTGTTTCCTCCTCACCGCCGCCATCGTGCTGGGCTGGTAAGCCTCCCTGTTAGGATGTGAGCTGCTCACCATTCCAGCTGATCCTCACTTGGATGTCACTTTACAGACCAGATTTAGTCTCTACCTCAGAGATTCTTTTAACATCAAATAAAAATCAGGCGGTCTGTAACTAGTTATGGTGGAACAGAGACCATTAGTCCTCCTATTCACTGGATAGGTTTGGATTAAATGCATCTAACAGTCCAAACACAGATGGGCTTCTACCTGTGCTGCTTTATTTACCAAGCAGCAGCAATCAGAGTGCTTATTTTGTTTCCTATAGCACCAGTTCCCATCAGGTTATTAGTGGTGATAATGAGGGATGATGATCTCTGTTAGATTTACTGATCTGAACCTTGGATTGATCCTAATCTTCTCTGTCAATGAAGCATACTGGCTACTCTGGCTGGCTCAGACTCCTTTGATTTTAAAGACTCACTTTAATCTCTGCTTTCTATCAGTTTTCTGTAGAAATGAAGCTGCTGCAGTTTGTTGTGAAACCAATAATTCAGTTTATTTCTATAGCGCCAATTCACAACACATGTTATATCAAAGCTCTTTCCAGTTCACCAGATCATCAGTCAGATTGATTCAAATTTTTCTATCTAAGGAAAACCAGCTGATTGCATTGACTCATTGACTCAAATACAATCCCTCACACTAAGCATGCTTGTAGCGACAGTGGAGAGGAAAAACTCCCTTTAAACAGGAAGAAACCTCCAGCAGAACCAGGCTCAGTGTGAGCGGCCATCTGCTGAGGCCCACTTGGGTTCAAGGAGACAGAAGTACAATAGAGCAAAATAAAAATATAAT